CAGTCGTCAATTGATCTTATTATTATTATGTATGCCTTCTTTTTTTCACAGAGTGTATAATTTCATTTTTTTTTAAATTCAATTTAGTAAAGTTTTTACGGCAAACATGGACAAACGGTGTCAAAAGGGGGTATTTTTTTTTAATTTTTTTTTTCATGACATCGCTCTTTTAACTACCTTCACTCCACGGCAATGTTTATTGTTTTAAAAAGCGACGATTAAAATTCTCATAGATTTAAACATATGATGAAAGTGAATTTATACATTTTTTGTTCTTGAAAATTTACAACAAAAATATTAAACACTATTTATTTATTAGAGTGTTTATTTACAAGAATAATTTTATATTTACAACATTCTAAAAACAATTACAATTAGATCTAATGCAATGTAATATTTTTTATTTACCAATTTAAAACGAAATAAATATGAAAACAATTTTTTTATTCGTAGATTTATAAACATTTACTAAATTATTACAATATGTGAGCCAACATAAGGAAATCCTTATTTACCATTTTATAAAGTTTGAATCAATTGGCAATTAGCCGACGTTTGGGCAGTCATTCCAATAAACAGTCTAATAAATAATTAGCGTTTATTAAATTTTTATCAATTTTCAAGAACAAAGAAAATGTATAAATTCACTTTCAAATATTTAGGCTTTATTACGATTCTAATCATTGCTTTTTAAAACACTAAACATTACCGATGAGTGAAGGTAGTTAATTTAAAAAAAAAATATGCTGCGTCATGGGAAAAACCGTCCGTTTGATACTCCGTCTTATTGCGGGAAATGTTTATCCATGTTTACTGATTTCGTTTTATTAATAAAATATGTCTTTTTTGGTTTAAAATGAATTTCTAATAATCTTGTAGTTACCAAAATAAACATTATTTCTTTCTTTTCTTTCATTCTTTCAAATCTTCTTTCTTTACGTTTTCTTTGTTTCTTTTTTTTTTTTGTTTTCTTTCATTGTTCTACATTTTTTTCTTTCTTTGCGTTTTCTTTCTTTCCTTCACCCTCTCTTCGTTTCTTTCTTTTCTTTCATTCTTCTACTTTTCTTTCCTTCTTTGTGTTTTCTGTCTTTCTGGCGTTTCTTTCTTTATTTTATTTCATTCTTCCATTTTTTTCTTTCTCTTTTTCTCTCTTTCTTTGTTTCTTTCTTATTATATATGCTTTCTTTGTGTCACTGAAATCAGACAATGTCTCTGATATATTTTTTCGCCTTTTCCCACGATCTAAACGAAATGGCCCATTATTTATCTGATGTAATGGAAAGGTGTAATGAACGTGCAACGGAACGAACACACAGAATTATCATGACGAAAAACAATGTAACGCCAAATAACAACTAACAACAGAGAAAGAATTCAAAATGGCTCAATCAAAATACACGCAATTTCTTCAAACTTGAATCAAGAATTTGACATGATTCAGACTTGTCATAAATTTAGAATTTTTACTTTAAAATGAGGTAAAATACTTAATGAATAATATGTTTTCCACTTCTTCTATGTGCCGTGTCTCTTTAGAACATTGTTGATCATGGCTCTCCACTATTTCCTCTCCTTTGTAATTCTTAATATATGTTGTCTTATTTTTTACTTAATTTCGGCATTCATGAACTAAAGTTTATTTCACTCTTCCTTTGTTGCCTTCATTATACCTTGTGAGTGTCAACATCACTAAGCCATCTTTCCTCAAATATATGTCCCAGAATTTTCAATTGTCTCTTTTTGAACTTAAGAACAAGTGTCTTTTTCGTTCTCACTCTCCTTAAAACTTCCTCGTTGCTCACATGTTCTGTTCGTGATATGCTCAGTATCCTTCTGTAGAACCTGATAATCATTGGTTCTTATGACGGTTTGTCTCTGCTTTATGTGGGATTCGCGATTAGTGTAACGAATAACGATACAGAAGTTGAAATCAGATAGCTGAGTTCAAATTCCGGTCGAGTTAGTTGCATTCATTTTCACCATTGAGAAGGGGGTGAATCCACTGTTTCCACAGCTATGGATTAAATAGCTGGATAGATTAATCTATCGAGACTTGAGTATCAACCAGTCTAAGAAAAGGACATTTCTGAATATCGAAATTGAAGGCGGTAACGGGAAACTACTCCATTATCTTTTCCAAGACAGCTAAAAATATAATAAAGAAAAAGGATCTAGGGGGATCCATGATCGTCTACTTCCGGAAGGGGCTTTATTTTCGTTTTTGTACCGTGCACCTTTAGGGCGTGGGCAATCATGGCTCTTCTCAAGTAATCATCTTTCGTACGTTTGCCCCTGTCATATACGAATAAAGTGTCGCTGCCAACACCTTGGTTTGAACATGGATCGCCAGAGAGCAAACACAGTCGACCTCATCTTGAAATAATTAGATCACATAACGGGTAAAGGAAATAATATATATATATATATATATATATATATATATATATATATATATATATATATATATATATATATATATAAGGGAATTAGCGGCGTCTGACTGTAATATTGTTCAAAAGGCGTTATTATTATTGTATCTGTGATTTACAAAGTCTCTCCTACAAATGGGCATTACAAAAGCCCCCTTACTATCACTTTTAGTCCTTGTTCTGTCATCCATTTACACAAGCTTGTTAGGTAGGTGATACACTACACACCTCTTATAGCTTTTATTGCCTTTAAGATGTCTTGTGAATGTCAAGTTAAGCAAGCCATCTTTCCTCGTTATGCGTCTCAGAATTTTAATCTGACCCTTTCTGATTCTAAGTATAGGGGAATTTTTTCTTTACATTTTCCTTAAAATTTCCTCGTTTCATCCATGTTATTCTCGGCGTCCTTCAGTAGAGTCTACGTCTCTGATGCCTTGTATCTGTAAGGAAAGTGCCCAACATTCACTGCCACAAAAGAAAATTGATATTACATAAACTGCTCAACGCGTGCTGTTTCTTATTAAATTCTCCTGTTTTTTTAACTGTTTAACTTGTGGAAAGAATCTTTAGTTATTCCAATGGGCCTCCGAGTTTCTGTATTACATGTCTTGTCGTGTATTAAAATACTTCCTAGATTTTTTTTTACAGTAGTGTTCACCCTGTACAAGGCTCTGAGTAATGCGGATATATGCGAAAGATTACGGTTAACCCTAGACTTGAACAAGATTGTAGTGATCAAGGCAGCGGTTGATGGGAAGAAGTTACTTAAGTGCAATTTACATCACACCACGAGGATAAAAAGGGAATGAAAGTGGTTCGTGAATGAAGGGAGTAAAACAACTATACGAGATAGAATGTTGTGGAGAGCCATGATCGCCTTTGTACTGAAAGGCCGTGGCAGATATTAGAAAAAAGACCTGCTCCACAAATATAATTTTGAAAAAAAAAAAAAAAAAAACGCGATACAGGTATATTGACTGTCTATAATGGCGCACCTATTATCCAGGCTATAAATCAGCGGTTCAAGTCACTTAGGAAGAGACAAAGTGACTTTAATAAGTCATGGGGGATTGGTTGTGTGCACACGCTTGCTCACGGTGTATGTGTACATATATATATATATATATATATATATATATATATATGTCTGTTTGTTTATGCGTATGTACGTGTTAAGAGAAAGTCAAACGAATTCCAAATAATTTACTATCCATTTGTCAAATAATTCAAGTATCAAAAAACATGTTTACCAACAACTCAAAAAAAACGACTTTTCCCATCCCTTCTATTTTGAAAGGTTTTACAATGTTTTCTTTAAGGATTGATCGTCTACTTTTTTTGTTTTTGTTTTTCCTTTCTTTTTTTAATTTATGGATGTTGCATGTAAGTTAATAATAACTTGATGGGATTTTCTAACTCTCCCGGCAATTTATACCATAATAATAATAATAATAATCGTACCTCGACTTTACGAATTGAAGCACAGTATTAGATTGTCAGCTAGATCTCATTATTTTACAGTTGAAGTTGCTAGATATAACCGTAAGTTCTATGCTAACTGTTTCTTCTCTCGCACTTGTTGCTTGTGGAGCTTTCTTCCGGCCTCTTGCTTTCCAGTCAATTTTGATCTTCAAAATTATAAAAGCAATGTCAGTCGTTATCTTTTGTTTTCTTAATTTCTGTTCTTTTATTGATCTCTCTCCTTAATAATGTTTTTTTTTATATTCTTTCTCTACAGTAACACCTTCCGTCTTAGTGGCTTTCTTGCCTTGCTTGGGCTGAAATGATTAAAAAAAACTGAAATGGGACACATGATAATAGCGCTCAAAAATACTTAAACGTATAAAAGCAAAAATACTTTTCCGACCAGCATCTTCATCTTGGTTGTTATACTCACAACGTTTCGGTTCATACCGATTTAATAAACTTTTTCGGTATTTTTGAGATGACCCCCACTGGGGGTCTTAATAAAAGTGGGAGTCGGAATATTATTGAAAAGGGCAAAATGCACATTAATAAACTGGGTGGTCTTAGTAAGCTCGGGTCGGGGGTGGGGTAGATCTTTCCCCCAAAGTTATAAATAATATCCCTAGCTATTCAGTACCTAAATTTTATTTAATTTGATTCATTTTTTATTGCTTATCAGATTTTGTGTTTAATTTAATACCGAAACATATTTCAGATTTTCAAAATGAACTTTTTTCAACTTCATATTGCATCAACATTTTTGTTCAGAATAACAATTATTTTTTTCAGATACCAGTATCTACTATTTAATCTATAGCTGAGGGGAGGAGATGATTGATCGATTGATTCATTCATTTTCTACGAATATCAACTTTTTGCAACTTATTTAAGGCTAGAGAATAATTTTTAGATTGTAAGAATTTTTGGAGATAATAATTTAGTGAAAACAAGTTTTATTAAATAACCCATAGTTGGAGGAAAAGATGTGGACCCATACATTTCCCAAGGCTATTTGCACATAAGTAAATATAATGAAACCAATGGGAATTGGAACTCGACTTTCCTATTAACAATACCTAACCATTATCCATTATATAACCCGAGCTTACAGCACCTGATATTCCCAAGCGGTCATCCATCTAGGTATTGACCAGGATCAGCATTGCTTAACTTCGATTATCGGACGTGAACCGGTTTTTCAACGTGATGTAGCCGTAAGCTTTGGGGTGGGGAGATTGAGCCTTATCTTTCCCCAAGGGAAGTTGCGCGTAAGTGAATGTAAGGAACCCGACTGGAATTCGAACTCGGCTCTCCGGTTTCACATTCCTAGCCACTATCCACTCGGCACCTAGATGTAGCTAAATCATAAATAACACAACAAAAATAGTCTGACGTTTACCCCTTAAGATAATATCCCTTTTAAGTGAGAATATTAAGATAGTTCAGGGAATCTGTGTTTCCTTTTTTAGGTTTGGCTTATGGCCACATCATATTAAAACACCAGTCCCCGTACGATCACCGAAGTTAAGCAACGACAAGCAGTGCCCAGAAGAGTGATGGCCTGTGAATACTGCTGTAAGCTTGGATGTGCGAGTGGTGTAATGGATAATGGTTCGGAATTGTTAATCGGAAATACGAGTTCCAATTCCCGTTGAATTTGTTCGTGCGCAAATACTCTTAGGGAAAGGTATGAATCCATCTCTTCTCCTTCTAGCTGTGGTTTAATTGGTAAGTTTTATGTCACTAAAACATTATTTAAAAAAAAAAAAAACTTGCACAATCTAAAAATATTTTCTGGCTTTTAATAACCTGTAATGGGTTGATAAACCGTAAGAAAACGAATCAATCTTTTTAGGTTGATTTCTCACTCTGCACGTACAAGTATGCTAGTGCTCGATTTAAAAAAAAAAAAACTAAACAAAAAAACGAATTTTGTTTTACCTCTATGGTGATTTTCTAAGGGTAGCTTAAATGTGGTACAAGGCCGAAAATATAGGGCCTCCATTGAGGATAAAACTCACTTTTCAGTCTCAATTGATCTAGTGAGACAAACTTGATAAACATTACACCAATTGGAATTTCCTCTTTGTTCTACTTCTGTAACTTTATTGGATTTTCCATTTCATGTCACCGCAGCATGTGTGTGTGTGTGTATGTGTCTATGAGTTCATGTGTGTGTGCGCGCGCACGCACGTGCGCTACATTTTAAATCTGTCATCTTGATTTGTGGTGTCAAGAAAGTTTTCACCAGCAGCAAAAGTTCAACGTTCTCTTTAGCTGACATTAATACGCAGATAGCAAATAAGATTAGTTTCGTCATCAGCGTTAAGGTGGTTACCTTTTATTATCGCCAGAACCCGTCAATCTCGACAGGATTGACAACTTCGGTCATGTTAATGGCATTGTAGCCTCTGAATCGTCGAGTGTCCTTGTTCGGTATCAGGTGGCAACAAGTACACTGCAACTACATAAAGATTCGGAGTACTTTTACCTCAATGTTCTTTTTGATTTTCGCATTATACATTTGGTGATGACATCATCAGATTCTCCTGTCATCTACTCGTTCTCTTAATGTATCGTTAGCCATCATTCATCTATTTATCTATCTGATTGTCCTCAGAAAAAAAAAACACTTCAGACCATCTCTCCGACCATTTCTGTCTATATCTGCAGACATTCTTTTTTTCTCATTCTAATGTCGTTTATGAGTTAATCTATGAATGTTTTTGCTTGTCTACTTCTTGATATCTTCCGATAATTTAGTTAACCCGGTAAATCTGCAGGAAAACGAATTATCTGATCGTCCTCAAACCAATTCTCTGTTTCTGTCATCCATAGCTCTGTTCATTTCTATATCATTCGAACCTCGTCTATAAGTTGATCGACGAAGATTCTTTTACGTATACCCCTTCATTGTTTTACCAAATTTTGGCAGATCTGATGTTCCGGTAGAATCTAAAGGAAAAAGAACCTATGAGAAAAATAAATAAAAAATTCTAAGAATTCTTCAAAATTGGCACTTTATAGTAAGAAAAAACCTTTCCATCTATAATGGCAAAACAATGCCCAGATTTTGAGGAGCCAATCAGAAATTTTCAACGCCATTTTTTTCTTTTATCTATCTATCTATCTATCTATCTATCTATCTATCTATCTGATACCTGCCACTTCTTCACAGAAGAAGACCATCTCGTCAACATTGAGCTGAATGGCCACGGGCTTGCAGATTATTTTGCAAGCCAGCCTTGACCTTGCATACATTTTACATATGTGATACACGAAAGGCTTTCGGGGTGTCTTGAAAGTGGCTTTCTCCTCATGCGCGCTCTTATGTGCTGCGTCAGCCTGGGGCCAGACATACAAATTTATAACAAAACTGACATAAGTACCCTGCATGCCCGTCAGGAAGGACATCCATATAGTCAGCATTACACTGCTGAATAACCTTTCCAAAGATGTTACGTACAATTGAGTCTAAAATCACATTTTATAAGAGCTCTTTTCAACTTTTTATGCTCAACCCTATCTATCTATCTATCTATCTATCTATCTATCTATCTATCTATCTATCTATCTATCTATCCTCAATCGAACACGTTTCACCGACTCTCCTCAACTACTTTCGTCATTAATAGCTCTACCCAATGCGTCCTTTCTCATTCCAGTGTTGTCTACAAATTAATCAATGAAGTTTCTTACTGGTCGACCTTTTGATTTTTTCTCGTCATAATTTGTATCCCATAGTATAAACTAGTACACAAGTCCTTGTTTACTAAAAGATTTTTGTAACACGCTAACGCGTGTTAAAATCTTTACAGTATTTAGTGTTGTTGAAGTTATCTCTAACATTTTTGTCGAAATTTAAAAACGTTTCGTTCAATTTTGCGGTGCACCACACAAGCACGCAACCAGACTTTGAGTATTATATAAATTTCTCAAGCAATGACCACTAAACCGCACTCACCATTCTCAAATTGTGTCCGTAATCTTTGGTAGGTTCTCATCTAGTTCTTCAATTGACCTAATGTTCTTTCCAAATGAGATTTAGCGCTGTTCTCAGTAGTCAAGTGTATGTACCATTGAGTTTTTACGTTAATGATTTTAACTCCCAACTGCTTGATCCGTATCTGTATTTAATTTTGAATTAAAATTTCAATTTTCATTCATTTTTGATTTCCAAATGCTATTCACTTTTGTTAGTGCTTTCCATGCCATTAGGTCCGACAAAATATAACTTGCAACTGCTCTCGAAAATGAGCTCCGGTCTGTTGTTAATTCGCACAAGAAACGAAACAGCATAGAAAACCATTTTTGCGCTCCATCAGCATGGCTGATGCTAACCTCCTGGAGAACAACTCATTGTGCCTTCTTGGTTTCACGTTTTCTACTGACTTGAAGTGGAGTGACCATATTGAATCGATTCTTAGATCTGCTGATAAGGAAGATTGTTTACTGCGTCATGACGATCAACCTCTTCGCATCAGAATCCATCTTGCACATTTATAAATCTTCTGGGCATTGAGTGTTGCTGCCATATATGCTCTGGTGCTACTTTCTATATAACTTGAGATTCTCGAAAGATATACAGATCCAAAAAAGCGTCTGTAAGGTTATTAGCCTTGACCTGGTATCTCGACTTTAGTCACTTTCCCACCGCTTTCACGTGGCTTCCCTCTGTTTTTTCTATAAATATTTTCATACTAGTTGTTCTAATGAGATCTCCTCTTTTGTACTGCAACAATATGAATTTAAGCTTACTACTAGATTGGCAATTAGGTCTCATCGTTTTACATTTTTAAATAACTGAAAATCGTGGGGCCCAGATAAAACCACACTACAACAATACAAGAATCATACTTGCAGAATAGGGCCTTAAAAAGGTTAGGTCTCCTTACCCAATTTTTTTAAAAATATTATTAACTATGAGGGTCTAGATAAAATCACACTACAACAATACCAGGACCGTACTTTCTGGAGGGTGTAGCTCCCCACCCACCACGTTTGAATTAGTGTAAATTAAAAAAACATGGGTTCTAATCCAGATAAAACCCCAAATGCAACAATACCAGGACCGTACTTTCTGGAGGGTGTAGCTCCCCACCCACCACGTTTGAATTAGTGTGAATTAAAAAAAACATGGGTTCTAATCCAGATAAAACCCCAAATGCAACAATACCAGGGCCGTACTTTCTGGATAGGGATTTTCTTTCTGTAGTAGACTGGTTGCCAACCAAGGCTATGGGATCCAGTCTATCCAGTTATTTAACTGATAACTGGGAGGCGAACAGATGGATTGAGCGTAAGTGAATGTAACAAACCCTACTGTTATTCGAACTCGGCTCTCCGGTTTCTCATTCCGAGCCGATATATATTACGACATAGCGCACATCCTAACTAAAAACTTCTTCTTCTTTACGTGCCATGTTCCCTCAGGACATAGGTGATGATGGCTCTCCACCACTTCTTATCCATGGTAGGTCTTAATAAACTTTGTCTGTTATTTCTCCTGTTCAGCTATCTATTTACTCAAGCTATGTTATGCGTTGCCTTCCTCTGTCCCTCTTGCCCTCTATCTGTCCCGTAAGTATCAGATTTTCCAAGCCTTCCTCCTCGTTATATGCCCTAGACACCTCAACCCAACCGTCTTTTTCTGATGTTAAATATTAGTTTCCTTTCTTTTTTCCATTTTCTCAATAGCTTCGTCGTTACTCATATGTTCGGTTCACAGTATTCTCAGCATCCTTCTGTAGAACCATATTTCTGTTGCTTCAAGTTTTCTCTTCATCTTTGAAGAGATCGTCTAGCATTTACTGCCATACAGGAGGACAGATATTACATAACACTTTAGTAGTCTTTTCTTTGTTTCTAGCGAAAAACTTTTTTCTCGGTACTCTGCTTAGATTTTGGAATGTTTCTTTGGCTATCCCAATACGCCTTCGGTTCTCTGTGTTGTTCTTTCCTTCCTCTGTTAAAACACTTCATAGAGATATAATCATTTGAACATAGATTCTGTCATATACCGGGTGTAACAGCAAAATTGTCCAAATCGTGTAATAACAAATTTTTCCAATTATTAGATGAAACTTTGAACCGTTGTATCTTAAAAATGATTAAAGATATCTTACTGGAATTCTCCGAGGTTTTTATAACACCATTAGACTTGAGCAACAAGTATGTATAATTAGTCCCCAAGCTTAAAAGAAGAATAGCTAAGGATC